TCTTTATAGCTGTTAAACATCTATAGCAGTCGGCATATCTCCATTGTACTTAACACATCTTATTAAATGAATTGTGGATGTTCCCATCTCCCCTACCAGCATGTGAGTATTTTGGTCATCTATATATATGCACAAAATCAAGATAATTTTTCTGTTCAAATGATGCAAGTTGAGCCAGAATATTGATGATGCTGAAAGTAATTTTGTTGAATAATGAATTTATATGCCCTGTACTAATATCTACCAAGTGTATTAGAAACTTTCCTGGTAGACTAGGGCTTTAAGTGTTAAAGAAACTAATCTTAATGGGTTCCAAAGATTTTATTAGATTGTGATTAATACAACAGGGGACAGCATTCAAAAGAGCCCTTAAAAACCTCAATTGGAATAACCTCAACTCAAGCCAATTTCTCTTTACTTAGGATTGCTGTAAATCTTGGTTAAGAAAGGACATGACTTGATTTAATATAACTTACCTTTGAGGCAAAACAGCAAAGAAAGGTTTCTTCAAATTTAATTATCGTCTCTGGGTGCTTCTTCTCCCCATTAAATCTAGAGAGAAGTGGCCTTGAGAGGTGCGTTGAGGCCCATTTATAGTTAAGTTTACTTCATACTTGTTTCTTTGGCTATTGGAAACTTACATTACTATCAGATGCTTTGTTATATCTGAAGTTTCGCTTCTTAATGATGGCTGTTAGTTATTTACAGTGGAATAATAGCATCATTCCAGAAATTTCTGTAAGCCTTCTCTGAAGTAAGATTTTTACATTAATCTTGGGAACAAATTGTCCTTTGTTAATCTTGTCAGTAGTTCTGAGATAATTTTTCTGATCAAGGGATAGCATATGAGCCGACATAGATACACATCTTCTTTTGTGGGCAGTGTCTATGAAGAGCCAAGGAAAAAGAACAGATCTTATTTTGTCTATGAACTACTACATTCATTACTTTTTGTTGTTGTGATAAAACACCATGATCAAAAGTGGTGTATGGGGAAAAAGGGGTTTATTTGGGCTTTGAGCTCCAGAGGAGAAGTTCATAATGGTGGGGGAGGTCTGATAGAAAGGAAATCAAGCAGGAAACTAGCTGATCATATTTCCATCTACATGCAAGAAGCAGAGAGAGAGAGGGAGGGAGGGAGGGAGAGGGGGGATTAGAGGTGGGGTGAGGCTATCCACTCTCAAAACTTGCATCCAGTGACATACTTCCTCCTGCAAGGCTCTACCTCCCAAAGGTTTCATAACCTCCACAAACAGAGTCATCAACTAGGAACCAAGTGTTCAAGTACCTGAGCCTATGAACACAGCTACCCTTAAAATTGTCCTCTCCGTGCTATAGTGATCAATCTTATTCAAAACCAAAAGAGGAAAGAGGGGAAAAAAGGAAGAAAAAATATTACTTATTAAGAAAGCAAGAATCTGGGCATGGTAGCACATACCTGTAATCCCAACACTTGAGAGACTGAGGCAGGAGGAATGGTAAGCTCAAGGCCAGCCTGAACTACAGAGTAGTTTCAGGCCAATCTAAGCTGTATATATATATAT